GAGTGGTGTAGGCTCAGCACAGGGCCACTCCAGGACCTCCACAATCCCAACTCCCACTAAATCCCAAGAGCATTAGCATCAGGTCTCATACTCCCAGGTGTGATAACGTTCCTCTAGAGATGGCAATCCTTCTCCACCCAGACAGCAAAAGGCGCTATGCAGCAAGGAAACATACAGCTGTAGCAGGAGAACAGTCAGGACTACAGGGCTTGTGGGTCCATCCAGATGAGCGTCTCTACTTCTTTGCTACACAGACAGACATCAGCCCAGAACAGTGGATGCTGCAGGATGAACATCTGTTGCACTCATTTTCACACACACACACACACAAACACGTGCATGTGCGCATACACAGTGCACACAAACACATGTACTGACAAATATACATGTGCACATATACATGTGTACACATGCGCAAGCACTGCACGTACAAGGTACATGGGTGCGCGTGGTGAACATAGGTATGCACAGGTGTACACACAAAGAGACACATGCATGTATGTACACATACCCACACGAGTGTACATATCACACACAAGTGTATGCACGTACACAGGTGCATGCACATGCATGGGTATGCATACACAGGTATACATAGGTACTCACAAGCCCACCCACACATACACGGGTACCCAAATGCACACACATGAAAATATGTACACGAGGATGTACACGCGCACACGTGTCCATACAGGGGTACATACATACACACACAAGTGCACACGAATGTACAAAGGTACATACAAGCGCACGCACGTACACACACGCACATACAGTCCGGCAGCCACCAGTCCCACGCTCCACCGAGGCCCTCCTGCCCTCCGCGCTAGACGACGTTGTCCGGCCCCACAAAATCCCTGCCTGGTTCGCCCCTGTGGGACAGTGACAACCGGCGCCATTCCCCTCGGGAGTCGGCAGCACCCTCAGGAGCACGGACGGGACCGTCCCCACCTGTCACCACCGCGGGCGGGCGGGGAGGAAGAAACCGAGCCACCCGCTCCTTTCTCGGACCACTTACCCCAATCCTCCTCCGGCCTCGGAGGGAGCCCCGGGCTAAAGGGCGAGGCCATCGCAACGCCGCCCGCGCCCCCAGGCACACGCTCCGGCAGTAGCCCACGCGGGGGCGGGGCGGGAGCGGGGCGGGGCGGGAGCGGGGCGGGGCGGGGCGGGCGGACAGACGCAGCGCAAAGCCCGGGCGACGGTGGCCGAACGCGGACAAACTGCCTCACTGCGCGAGGGTCCCGCAGGAACCGGAGACGGACGGACCGAGGCGACTCTGACGGACGGACCCTCGCCTGGCCGCACTGCCCGTCGGATGTTTGAAGCGGGAAGAGAGACGTGTAGTCGTGCGTCAGGGACACGGTGCCGAAGGCGCTGACGCTGACAGGAAAGCCCCGCGGCGGACGGCTGCGAATGACCGGCGCCACTATACACCACTGCTATGCGGTACACCTGAAACCAATGGAAAATAACTTTGAAAATCAACTGTAAATTAAAACTTTGTAAATTAAAAACCAAAAAGGACCCTAGCCGGTGTGGCTCAGTGGATAGAGCGTGAGCCTGCGGACTGCAGGGTCCCAGGTTCGACTGAGTCAAAGGCACACGCCTGGACTGCGGGCCCGTCCCCCATTGGGGGCGTGAGGAGGCAGCCATCAATGACGCTCATCAGGGATGTTTCTCTCTCTCCCTCTCACCTCCTCTCTGAAATCAGTAAAAATACATTTTTTTAAAAATCAAAAGGGAAAAGTGGTGCCCGTTCCGAACAAGTGGCGGGCTCGCGAACTCCCTTCATCAGGTCTCAGGACCACAGCGGAGTTGCGAGCGGGCGTCCGGCTGCTCCCGAACCTGCCATCAGCGTCCAGGTCCCCGCCACCGGCGTCCAGGTCCCCGCCACCGGCGTCCAGGTCCCCGCCACCGGCGTCCAGGTCCCCGCCACCGGCGTCCAGGTCCCCGCCACCGGCGTCCAGGTCCCCCGCCACCGGCGTCCAGGTCCCCCCCACCGGCGTCCAGGTCCCCGCCACCGGCGTCCAGGTCCCCCGCCACCGGCGTCCAGGTCCCCCGCGCGGAAGACACGCCTGCGCGGCCCGGCCGCCGCGGGCAGGACCTCCCAGACCCGGGCGGGCGGGACAGCTCCGCGCCCAGCACTGGGAGGACGGTGCCCGGTCCCCGCGCCCCCGCGCCCGGGTGCACGCCCAGCCTTTTCGGGGCGGAAACTCGGAATCGCCAGAAAATATCGCCCACTCCGCCCCGGCGCTGAGCCGGAGGGTCAGCCACGGCCCAGAGCGCCACTCACCGGCTGTGTCCGTGCCCCTCCGCCGCCGCGGCCGCCGCGCCCCCTAAGAACACGTCTCCGCGCCGCGCCGCGCACACGTCCCAGAACCCCCCGCGCGGCGTTGCCCCGGGTTTCGTCACCGCCACCTGCGCGGTCCGCCCCGCCCACAGGCCGGCCCGGGGTGACGGCTGCCGGCCGCACCCGGCGGCGGCCTTTGGGTGAAGTTCCTAACACCGCTTCGCCGGCTGCAAGTTCAACCATTGGACAAAAACGGACCTAAAACCGCAAGGGTTCTCTGTTCTGCACCCACCATATACACTTTTTTAAGCCACCAAGTTCTCATTTTTTTAATTTTCAAAACGTTTACCCTTTATTAAAAGGGGCAGAGCCCTAGCCAGTTTGGTTCAGTGGATAGAGCGTTGGCCTGCGGGCCAAAGGGTCCTGGGTTCGATTCCAGTCAGGGGCAACCAGACCATGTTTCCCTCCCTTCGATGCTTCTGTCTGTCCCTCTCCCACTCTCCCCTAAAGTCAATGAAGATTGTCCTCAGATAAGGATTAACAAAAAAGGGGGGGAGGCGGATGATTATGAAACAAACGTGTACCTATCACCAAAAATAAACAAATATTAGTATATTCCATTTTCACTTCAGATTTTTCATAAGAAATTAAACATTATGAAGTTGAGCTCTGCTTTTCCCTCCATCCACATAGGCAGCTTATTATGAATATTATAGGACCCATTCAAGTCCATTTTTTTATTTTATGTTTAAATGTTTGTAGATACATAGTGTCGAGGTTTTATTTTTTTAAATATATTTATTGATTTTTTTACAGAGAGGAAGAGAGAGGGATAGTTAGAAACATGTGCGCAACCAAGATACATGCCCTTGACTGGAATCAAACCCAGGACCCTTTAGTCTGCAGGCTGACGCTCTATCCACTGAGCCAAACCGGTTTCGGCTAGTGTTGAGGTTTTTAATATATATAAAAGTATCATTCATACTCTATTTTACAATCATTCAACATTACTTGTTAATGTGTTTGAACTGTTTTTAGTATTTATTTCAATTTATGTGTGTGTGTGTGTGTGTGTATACATAGTCTTCCCTGATTGACATTTAAATTGTTCAATTTTCTGTTACACAAAATATATCCTTGTATGAGTCTCCTTATTTACATGTGCAAGCATGTCTAAGGCATACACCAGGTCATAGAGGAGCATTAATATTTGCCAAATTACACCCATTTACAGCCTGGCTACCAGTGACAGGTTCCCTTTCTCTCCATTCTCACCAACACTGGATACGGTCACACTTTACACTTCTTTGCCACCGTGAAGGGTGTGACTATAATCTACATTTTTCTGACAAAGTTGTGACTCATTTATTTTGTGTTTATTAAACCTTATTTCCTCTCCTGGGTGTTTCCCATTCTTATCTAAGATTTGCTGTTGAATTTTCTCTCAATCATGTGTACTTCTCTGTTCATTTCCCTGGTGCATATGCTACAGATAGCTTCTAGGCCAACACTTGTCTTTGCTTATGGGTTTTTACTAGTATCCTGTGTTTTCATCTCAGTGAACTCACATTTATCCATCTTTTTTGTTTGTGATCTCTGCTTTTTGTATCTTGTTAAAGAAACCCTTCTCACTCCTGAGGTCATTAGGATCTTTTTAAATTTCCTTTTAATAGTTTTATAGTCTTGATTTACATGGCTTTTTAATTCAGTTACTCCTGGGGTAGAGTAACTATTGATTTTTATACAGCAATCTTGTATCTTAAAAATCTCAACTTGCCCTGACCAGTGTGGCTCCTTGGTAAGAGCACAGCCTACTCCCTGAAGGGTTTCTGGTTGGATGTCTGTCCAAAGGCACGTACCTGGGTCACAGGTTTGATCCCTGGCATGTGTGGTCGGCAACCAAATTGATGTTTCTCTCCCTAACCCTTCCTCTCTCTAAAATCAGTAAAAACATTGGAGATAAACAAGGAGTCTTAAACACACTTTTCTAAAGTTTTATATCACAGCTTCGTGAACAGTGCAGAAAAACTACACCACAGTGTTTTCCTCATAGCCTTTCCATCCACATTTCCAAGAAAAATCCAGACATGTAGATTTACTAATACCTCTAAAGAGAGAGATTTCTAGAAATAAGAGTATCTAATTAAACATGGTAGTTTCTAACTTTACATACTTTTGTTCATCCAGATCTTAAGATAACTAACATTCTCAAAATCAGAATTCTTTAAAATACATGAAACAGAGGAAGTATCTGGGTTATAGATTTTATTATCAAATAAAGTGTCATTTACATGATTAAGAGGTTTTGAGCCCTGGCTCAACTGGTTGGAGCATTGTTCTGTGCACTGAAGGGTGGAGGTTTTGGTTCCCGGTCAGGGCACATTCCTAGGTTTCAGGTTTGATCCCCGTTAAGGGCTGGCATGGAAACAACCAATTCATGTTCTGCTCTCACATCAATGTTTCTCTCCCTCTCCCTTCCTCTCTTTCTCAAATCAATAAAAAATGTATCCTTGGGTAAGGATTTAAAGGGGAAAAAAGGTTTTATTTCCATATGAAGTAGTCTACTTAAAGTGCCCAAGGCACATCAAGTGATTTCATCTTCTCACATTTCAAATGAAATGCTGACACCAGGCACTCCATGTGAATGACAAGAAGCAAGCAGCAGGTACCATCCGGCAAGTTTCTTCTTTGGATATCAAATGGCACAAGTTCACATTTTTCTTGTTTGTGATCCCAGAGCCAGCAGCGTCTTCATTTCATCCACTCTGTTCTTATGGATTTGGAACGCAGGGGTGATCCATGTGCCACAGGAGCACCGCTCACCGTACCAATTGAAAGAACCCAACTTGGCACTGCATTTGGGGCACAGCAGCTGAAAAAAGAAGCAAATTCCCTGTTTCATCCATTCACTTCGTACAAAACAATTATCTTTGGCAACAAAGAACAGAGAAACAGGGCATGGGCCCTATCTTCAAGAAGTTCAAATCTAAACGATGGGATTACAGGGAACAGCAGCAATTTACTCCAATAGCTGTGCTAAGAATAAGAGGCATGCTGGCCGGGACCGGTTTGGCTCAGTGGATAGAGCGTCGGCTTGGGGACTGAAAGGTCCTGGGTTCGATTCCGGTCAAGGGCATGTACCCTGGTTGCAGGCATATCCCCAGTAGGGGGTGTGCAAGAGGCAGCTGATCGATGACTCTCTCTCATCGACGGTTCTGACTCTCTATCTCTCTCCCTTCCTCTCTGTACAAAATCAATAAAATATATTAAAAAAAAAAAAAAAGGAAGCATGCTGTACCCAACCCTGAGAGGTGTAGAGGACCAAATGAGAAGACACCTGGACATTCTTTAGATTGTTGCTGACTGGGCCCAGGATATTGGCAGAATCATGTCAGTTGCATTCCCGCCCTGGGAGTGCGGAGATGTTCTTAGTTCCTGGCTTGTGTTTGTCCAGGAGGAAGGAGTGGGTGGGACCTGGGCTCTCCCAGGCTCCTTGTTTTCCTGTGAAACCCCTTGTTGGCTTGGAGTATAAATAGATGTGCTGCCTGGCTTAGGAGGTCGTCGGTCTGCCTCTCCAGCAGAGGAGTCGGGCGGCCCTCCCAGTTCCCAGCTCAAAATCTATCTCTGTCTTCTCTCTTTATTTCTAATATTTCTCAATCCCTGGGCACCTCCACTTAGAAGGGGTTCGTTCATCTCTCTTTCCGTGCTGGACACGGAAAAGGGAGATCCCCGCCATCAGGCCCCCGAGAAAGGTCCACGGAAGAACAGATTAATTACAGCACCAGGGGGAGAGGTGAAGCTTGAGACATGAAATAGAATGTTTCATGGATATGGCATGTGTGCTGACTTAAATCAGTCTGCAACTTAAGACTTCAAACTAAAACAATCAAAGCTAAAGAGCAGGAGAGCATGTTAGAATTCTCATGTTCTATTTCTGATATTAAGAGCCTATAGTTAGGCCTCAGATTCCTATCTATTTAAAAACAAAAGAAACTAATACTCTAGTAAAATAGATAAATCCAAAGATGCGCCAAAACCAGTTTGGCTCAGTGGTAGAGCGTCGGTCTGCAGACTGAAAGGTCCCAGGTTCGATTCCAGTCAAGGGCATGTACGTTGGTTGCGGATACATCCCCAGTAGGGAGTGTGCAAGAGGCAGTTGGTCGATGTTTCTCTCTCATCGATGTTTCTAGCTCTCTCTCTCTCTCCCTTCCTCTCTGTAAAAAAATCAATAAAATATATTTTTTTAAAAACAAAAAATAAAAACAAAGATGCTTAACAAGTCTATTGTATTTTCTTATAATGTATTCTTAGCACTAAAAAGAACTTAGACCAACACTTCTCAGTCAAAAGTGGCTCACTATTTTATTTTATTTTCTCCAATGTACAACCTGCTTCAGTAACTGCAGCCACCCAGGCAGAGGCCAGGCCATGGTTCCAGCCACAGCTTGCTGCTTCCAGACCCAGCCGACCCACTGCCCATGCAGAGGGCTAGTTTAGAACAGCTGTTTTTTGCTAAACTTTTTTTTTTTTAATATATTTTATTGATTTTTCACAGAGAAAAGAGAGAGGGATAAAGAGTTAGAAACATCGATGAGAGAGAATCATCGATCAGCTGCCTCTTGCACAACCCCTACTTGGGATGTGCCCGCAACCAAGGTACATGCCCTTGCCCGGAATCGAACCCAGGACCCTTCAGTCCCCAGACCGACACTCTATCTACTGAGCCAAACCGGTCCCGGCGTGGTTTTTGCTAAACTTTTGATAGATTCTTGTCTACACTAAAAAGATATAATCTTCAGAAAGAAAGTAGTTAGGATGGAGTAAAACACTAGATAAAATATGGTTTAAAATGCAACAAGGAACAAAATACAGATGATTTAATGAAACTAGAAAATAAGGTATGTCCTCACCTGCCCATCCAGCACTCCCAGCAGGGCGGGTTCCATCCATTGCACAGGCTCAATGAAATAGGATGTGCACTGAGCCCGACTCCCCGGGACAGGCCCCAGAGGTGGTACCAGTCTCTTGTGGGCAAAGGCTACGGGACCGCTTCCTTCAGTATGGTCCAAAATGCTCGAACTTCGAAATAAAGACCTCCTGCAACCTCCAAACAAACAAAAACATTAATGACTTCCAAAGTAATAAAAAAAAAATAGGTTAAATGTGCAGTTATTTCTTAAAGGGCAAAATAATATGGCATTGATTGTACTACTTTAATTTTCAATAGTCTCTACAAGTAACTTGATTGCTTTACTACTAAGAATTTGCATTCTTGGAAGCAGATTTGAATTTGAAATGTCTATAGTATTCAACTAAAGTTCTCCCTACAGAGATTTAATAAATTGAAACTTTCAATACTTTTCAGCTGCTGAGACAAAATAAAATCTCCAGAAAATACAAAATATTTTACCTGCACTTTCTACATTTGTAGAGAACCTCCTCTTTGGATCCTTGTGAAGCCATGGTTGGGTCAACAGCAAAGAGCTCTTGAGGTAAGCTCTGCAGTTCTACATGACAATGACAATGTATCTACTGGTTACTCTGCATTTTCAGACAAAATTCAATTAATGTCATGTTGAAGCAAAAAGTGCTAACCTCAGAAAAATTTTCTTTAAATATATTTTATTGATTTTTCACAGAGAGGAAGGGAGAGAGATAGAGAGCTAGAAACATCGACCAGCTGCCTCTTGCACACCCCCTACTGGGGATGTGCCCGCAACCAACATACATGCCCTTGACCGGAATCGAACCTGGGACCTTTCAGTCCACAGACCGACGCTCTACCAATGAGCGAAACCAGTTTCAGCCAGAAATTTTTTTAAAAAGCACCCAGTGTTAAAAAAGCAGGATGTGGTAGGAGATCCCTTGGGTTCTGGGCAGACTGCCTGAGATCAAATCCCAGACCCCACCACTCACAATCCATGTGACCCTGAACAAGATATTTCTTGCTAAACCACAGTTTTAAAAGGAAATAATAGGACCTGTCTCAAGGGATTGCTGGGAAAGTGAGATAATACACCTGAAGTGCTTAGTGTCGGTAAATAGATTTAGAAAGGCCCCAATACATGCCAGCAATTATCACCTGGATACTTCTCTGTGACCATTCGTAGACGATATTGCTTATAAATTGCACTGCAGGTATCCACTTCGCACCCCATGAGCTGATATAATTTCAATTGCCACTCAAAACCCTCATTCATCCTGTAAAGACAAACAAAGGTAAGTTTTCTTGAAATAAGAAAAATCACACCACAGAAACAATGTTTCCTCTCACAAAGAACGCACTTGGCCTCTGGCTGGATGGTCTGGAGGTGTTCATAGGCTTTTTCAAAGGTAAGCTGGTCAGTCTTCATCAGAAAAGCTGTCATTACTGCTACGCTGCGGCTGACTCCTGCGTGACTTCAAATAGCAAACAGCAACAATTAGACAAAAAGCACAAACACACACCTCAGCCCCTGTGGTCACGTTCTGGCCCACTGTCTGCTTCAAACTCTGCTTCTGACATACTACCCGTGTGCAAAATAACTATTCCTTTATTTCCTTATTCTTTTTAAATTCTAAACCATGTGAATGCATTATATATCCAAATATGACTAGGATAATCTCTAAGATTTTATAATGCTTCGGAACAACTCCAGATCCTTTGCTCTTGGCACGAAGGGCCCCAGATCTGGACTCAGACGTCCTTCCTCACACTACCTGCTGTACCGACCCCATGATTTAAACTGTGGTTATTACACACCATCCCCATTTCCACGCTAGCCGCTCGGCGACCGCCTGCTCCTTCCCCTGAGCAAGGCTCGGGTCCGAGTGTCCTAACCGACGGCGTCTCTCCCTGACTCCGCTGCACCAACCACCGCGTCCCAACACCCAAACACAAGCTCCTCCGGGAGCTGGCGCTTCCCGGTGCATCCCCGCGGCCTCGGTCACCGCCGGGACCCGGCTAGACACCTGACGATCTCCCCCCAACACTCTCACCCCTGCCCCCCAAAAAGGGAGCTGCAAAAGCCCGGCCGTGACAGGGCCCAGGAGCCAGGAGGTCACGGCTCAGTCCGAGATGGGAGCGTGCAGGTAGCAGCCCACCGATGATTCTTACCGATTTTCCTACCTCCCCTCTCCCTCCCTCTCTCCCTAAAAACAAAAACATTAAAAAAAAAAAATAAAATAAAATAAAAAAGCTGCAAAAGGAGCCCATGGAACCGTGAGTGAATGCGGGCAGGATCGCCTCCGCCCGCCCGCTCACCAGTGCACCAGCGCCGCGCGGCCCTCGGCGCGGGCCCGGCCCAGGAAGGCCACGCAGCGGCCCAGGTGGCTCAGCAGGTCGGTCCCGGGCTCGTCCAGCGCGGGCACGAAGAGCCGCCGCAGGCCCTCCACCTGGAGGTCGGGCTCCTCCGCGTCCACAGTCAGCACGTCCGTGACGCCCGCCTCCCGCAGGCGGCCCGGCTCCGCGGCGGCCGCTCCGCCCAGGTACAGCCCGGGCCGCACCCGCAGCATCTCCGCCGCGCGCCGCGTCCCATCCGCGGCGCCCAGCCCCGCGCCCGCCACCGAGTGGGCGTCTAGAGTGGGCCCTGCGCCCGGCCAGCTTCGCAGCAGCGCCCTCGGAGGACCCGGCCGGTGGCGGAAGTGCGCTCTGGGGAAAGGGCTGTTTGGGCCGCGTGGACGCCTCGCAGCAGCCACCGCCGCTCACGTGCCGGGCCCGGGACTCAGGTTCCGAGGAGGATCGCCTCCTGGACACGGCCTCCCTGGGTGGAGTTGGGCTCGAAGCAGCTGCAGCCAAGTTTGAAGCGGTGGCTCCACGGCCGAATGAGCAGCGTAATCGTGCATCTGCAGTACAAAAGCGTTCCTCCGACGTGAGCTCACGTTTGCAGTCCCTCTCCGTGACTGTTTTGCCTTTTTTCTCCTCCGCTCAGCTCCCGTGGGCGGGTCCTCCGCAGCCTGCCCACTGCTCTGTGTTTTGAGGAATCAATCCCATGTCTTTTCAAGAAAGAACGGACTACAGCCAGAGGGAAAGCTAGAGTTGAGGGACATCTTTTTTTCTTTTTTCTTTTTCTTTTCTTTTTTTACCTTTTTAAACGTATGGGGAAGTCCCAGGAGAGAGGGAGAAGCTACAGACACAGAAGGAAGAGGGGACCTGGGATGAATTGGGGGAGGGGGTGCAAGGTGGCACCTGGACTGAGACAGTGTTGTAGTGTACCCCCATCTTACAAAGGACACCTCTAGAAGTCAAATTATGGAGTCATTTATTAAAGGCCAGCGGCATCCGAGGGGCTAAAGCTCCAAATCTCGCAGCCCTGAACAGCTTGCCCTGAACAGATATACTGGCAGAATATCACGAAGGTATCCATTACGTCTTTAGGTCTGGAATGAGAACCTGTTTCATGCAAAGCTTTTACAGAAGCAAAATTGAGTAAATTCGTTACCTAAAGTATCTAAGAATCACTGAATCAACAGAAACACACTATCTGGGACCACCTGGGCAAACTACTCTAATAAAAGAGAAAAATGCCAATTGACTGTACTTCCGCTATGCCCACAGCCAATCAGGAGTAATATGCAAATTAACCCAGCAAAGATTGCAGGTAAATTTGCATACACAGGCGGTGCAGCCAGAGGTCCGATGCAGCCAATAAGATCCAAGCTGCAGTTAAGGACCTGGGCAGGTGGCAGGGGCCAGTGCCTGAAGCCACAGGCAGATTCAAGCTGAGATAGGGACCCGGGCAGGCAGCGCCCAATGCCACCTGCCTGGGTCCAAGCCTCCCTGCAGTCACGGGTGAAGAGCCCAGACCGAGCCACTCTGCAATCACAGGTCAAAGAGCCCAGGTCCAAGCAGCCCTGCAATTATGGGAGCAGGTTAGGCCAAGCTGCCCTGAGATCATGGGGGAAGAGCCAAGTCCAAACTGTGCCCCTTCTCCCAATCACAGAGAGAAGAGCCCAGATCCAAGCCACCCCGAGATCATGAGGAGAACAGAGAAAACAGGTCAGGCCGAGCCACCCCATGATCACGGGGTGAACAGACCAGGCTGAGCCTGGCCAAGCTGCCCTACAACCCCAGGGGAAGAAGCCACTCCACTGACCAACCTGCACTAGGGACCTGTTCGGGTGGGTGGCATGGAGTCCGGGGCCTCCAGCCTGCAGCCACAGGAAGTCTCCCTCTCCCCAGAGTTAGGAGCACCAGCCAGGTCTACCCAGCAGTCTGGTCCTGCCTGCGGGAGTGAGTTCCTGCAGGCTGAGGCTCGATCCCCACGCATTAGCAGTAGGAGACAGTGCCTTTGTTATTGCTGTGTGTCCAGGTTTTAATTGGACAAATGCCTGGCGTCCGGGGCGCCAGCTTAGCAAAATCTTTTACGAGGAGAATTCTGTCTGGGTTTCCTCAAATTCCCTCAGCCCCTACTCACCCCTCTGTAAAGGCCCAGAACAAGTGAGGCCCCTTAAATAACAATCAGAGGTCCCAGCAACGTGGGCCTCTCTCATCACAGTCATTTGGACTGGATGGCATTTGAGTATTTATCTAGGCACCATGACAGAGAAACACAAGCTCAAGTCATGGTCTCTGCCCTTAAAAATTCACAGTCTTATTAGAGCGAGTGGATGATAACAGCACAGTAATGACATCAGAATGTAAGGCAACGATACAGAGAGGAACAGAGGCAATTGCTGGGATGATTTTCCAATAATTAGTACAAAAAATATGTGCTGTGAATTAAATAAAAAATATGTGTGAAGTAACTGCTTCATGAGTACGGCATCCCTTCCTATTTTAAAGAAGCTGAGTTCCACGTGAACTGTGAACTATACAATGATCCCTGAGGCACAGGACAAGGGAGGCCCTAAGTGTACTATGCTTTGATATTTGAGTTATTCTTTATTGTTCAATGTGATTTATTTCTGTACACCTCAGTTTTATAATAGTTAAATTACTAGAATAATACATCTTGCTATAAAATATTACTAGAGATCAAATGATCAGGTGACATCTATTGTTATTTTCTATAAATGAACACAATCTCTGGTATGCTGGAGTGATAAGTATTATAGAAATATTCAGATAGAGAGACCTCCAGGTTTGATTACAAGTGAGGCTTACTATCACAACCCAAATTTATTGCTTAAAAAAAAAAGCAGGGAGCCAACTAGAAACCGAACCAAATATAAGCCCTTGAAGGGAAAATGTAAATTGGATAAGCTTCGCTATTACATGAGCAAGAAGGAAAAATTCAGATGCAAGAATGAAAACCACATTGCACCCACTCTAAGTAGCTGTTAAAGAAAAGAATGTAGACTGTTAAAATACTACAGATTATGTAGACATTTGTTCAAAGAGGATTTCCTAGAGTAGGTGCTATTTCAGTTAACTTCAGTTAAATGTGAAGAGGCTAGCTAGATAAAAAGGTGTAGGGGTCCTGATTGCAGGGGGTGCAGGCAGAGCTGACAGAATCTACCCCCGCCCCCTGCCCCGCCCAGCTCTGCCTGCACCCTCTGCAATTTCATGCACCAGGCCTCTACTTCAGAATAATTGTGCTGTCCAGATTCTGGAATCACTGAGTCAACAGGAATGCACTATCTGTAGCTACTGAGGCAATTTATGGTAATTTGCAAAAGAATGTGCTTTGATCACCAGTGAGATCACAATCAATGGGACATTCAAACCATCAATGGAGTATTGGGATAGCATACATAAGTTCAGAAAATTAATATAACTTTCTATTGTTTTAGCAAACAAATAAGTACAGAACCCAAACAGCAGTTTCTACCTGAGCCCAGCACAGTCTGGAATGTTGGGCCCTTAACTCCAGCAGGGAAGAATTCAGGACAGGAGTGTGGGTGGTTTTGAGAGGTTGTTTGGGGACCGTGAAACCAAGGAAGGGCTGAGGATAGAGGAGGCAAGATCAGCCACTGCCACAGCCACAGCCGGGAGAGGAAGGCACAGGGCAGGAGAGGTCTTGGCGCCGGGGCAGGGGGGCAGGAGGAGCTGCTGCCTTCGCTGCTCCCTAGTTCCAAGTCTCCGTAGAACGAGGAGGCACCCTCTGAATGGTCAGGAAGCGCCACGGAGCCCGGATAAACACATCTGAAACTGTGTTTGTACTCCTGGCCATTTACCCTCGGTGGCACCATTTACCCACCATTCACAAAGATGTACTTTGTGAAAGGGAAATGAATGTGGGAGCCTGTAAGAAAAGCAGGTTGGACCTGAGGAAGGAAATGATGTGATTAGAGAAATATCAAAGTTGCTTCCTATCAAGAAGAGAAGGGCTTGCCCTAGCAGGTTTGGCTCAGTGATAAAGTGTCGGCCTGTGGACTGAAGGGTCCCAGGGTCAATTCCAGTCAAGGGCATGTGCCTTGGTTGTGGGCACATCCTGATCGATGTTTCTAACTCTATTTCTCTCCCTTTCCCTCTGTAAAAAAAAAAAAAAAAAAAAAGGTTAAAAGAAGAAGAGAAAGGCCCCGGCTAGTGTAGCTTAGTGGTTAGAGAGCCGCCTTGATTCCGTCAAGAGCAAGAACTTCAGTTTCAAGTTTGCCCCCACCTCTGGTTGGGGTGCTTGTAGAGGCAAACAGTCCTCCTGTTTGGAAAACAGTGTTCTTCCAAAGTAGATTCTCTCTCTCCCTCACCCTCTTCCCTCTCTCCTACTTTCTTTGAAGAGCAATGGAAAAAATGTCTTCAGGTGAGGATTAACACACACACCAAAGAAAAGAGGAAGAGGAAAAGGGCTCTGTCCTCAGATTGGCGCATGCACACACACACACACACACACACACACACCGCCACCACACACCAGCAAACCTGCAACCCTGATAAATATGGATTAAATAAAAATTAGTATAATTGCTAAGAGATCATCGACTCTGTGGCAGCTTGCATGTTGAGAAGACAGCCACTTTATGTAACCTGACCTGGCCCTCTCCACACTTCCTGCTCTGGGTGTTTCTGACGTTAAAGCAGATGTAGTCACATGGATGATTTTCATGTTCATTTCCATCTTTCAGAATACTTGCTGAGAAGAAGGCCGGGAAACTTCCCCTCCTCTGCCCCAGCTCGGCCTCGCTGCCCCTTGTTCCTCTTTGCCCAGCACGGCCTGTGCCCACACCCAGGGAGCGAGGGGTGGGCGTTTGCTCTCGGGCACGTAGGAAGATACCCGTGAAGCACGCCTTGAGGCCTTCACAGTGAAATGGTGTAAATAAGCAACAACAGTGCGATTCTATGGCTTTGCTGTGAGAGGAGGTGGCTCGGGCGAGCGGGGTTCCATCTGCTCAGTCTGAAGCCAGAGAAAGCCGTCTGCCGCCCGGCACCTCCGCCGGGCCCCGCGCTCAGACACGGAGCGATGTCTCCAGTCCGTCGGAGGAAGTGTGGCCATGCTGAGGAGTTCTGGGGGGAAGTAATTTGTCAACACGTCCTGTTCCTGGGAGAAAGGCACCCAGGCTGAACCCTGCCCCGGCAGCGGGGTGGGCAGGGGGAGAGGCGATGCCGGCGGGCGGAGGGGCGGCGGCTTCGGAGCCGA